TCACGGCAACCTCAAACTCTTGGGCTTAAGTGATTCTCTTGCCTCAGCCTCCCAAGTAGCTGGGACTATAGGCACCTGCCACAATGCCTGGCTATTTTTTTGTTGTTGTTGTTGCACTTGTCATCATAGTTTAGCTGGCCCGAGTTGGTTTTGAACCCACCAACCTTGGTGCATGTGGCTGGCACCATAACCACTGTTCTACGGGCACCAAGACAGTTAATCATCTTTTGTTAGTGTTTGTGTAGTTAATGTGTTGCCCAGCACAACTCTTAGGTTTCTAATGTAAAGCAGAAAAGAAAAGTTTGGACACCCCTGACCATAGGACCTATATCATTTGCCTCTGTTCTATCTTTGACATCATCACTAGTTCCTCTCCCCCGTGCTCACTTTATTCCAGCCACACTTGCCTCCTTCAAGGCAAGGACACCAGGCGCACTCTCAGGACCTTTGCAGTTGCTGTTCTTCCACCCAGAACATGCTAGCCCCAGAAGGCTCACTCCCTTAAATCTTCTAGGCCTTTGCTCAAATGCTGTTTTCTCAGTGAGTCCAAAACTTGACCACACTATTTAAATAAAACCCTCCACCCCTAACTCACTTCTGTAGTTTTCATTCCTCCTCCTTACTTTATTTTTCATTTTAGCATTCATCACCCACCTTACACATTATATTTTTACCTATCTGTAGTATATAATCTCTGTGAGAGAATAGACATATCTATTTTGCTTATTGCTATATATGTAGCCCCCAGGAAAATGCTGAGCATATCGGATGAATTCAACACATATCATTGAATGAGTAATGCGTACATTTAAATGAAATTTAAATGACTTCTTTTGAAAAAATTTGCAATGAAAAGAGAACACAGAAGTAGAGTGCAGGTAGGATATGGTTTAAGACTTACGATGTGTAATATTACTGAATGCTTATATGCTACTGGAAATGACCCAGCAGAGAGAGAGAATGTGATAATATAGGAGAAAGAGAGAACTCTGTGTGAACGGTATCAGTAAGTAGGGTATATGAGACAGAGTAACTGAAGGGAGTGAAGACAGTTTAGCTGTAGAAATAGGAGAAAAGGCAAGAATACAGCTACAGATGCAGGTAGCTAGGATCATGTGAAATTCCTCTAATTGCTTTGTATATTCTCATCAGCTAATTTCCTTTCTGCATTATGTGCTATGAAAAAAAGGGGGGCACTGGAGATTTGAGAGGCAAGGAGAATGTGTGGAATGATTCTTCAGTCTGGATAGTGGAAGAGTGAATTAATTAAAGGAAGGTAGTAGGATTTTCAGGCTCACTTACATTTAATTGTCATGAAGTTCAAATGGGCGCAGTCAAAACGGCCGTGTGCGCGCTCTAGTGAGTTCAGGTACAATGCAGGAAGGTGCAGAAGCAGGTTTCAGCACCCACCTCTGGGAGCAGTAAGAGATGAGCAAGATTGTGGATGGAGTATACAATAACAGAATGATAATGAGGGACCCTGAGATCTAGGCTAGGTGAGATGGGAAATGCGGGCAGAAGGATGACGGCAGGAGGGGGATAGCTGTGAAAGACACACAACTGATAGACACTGTGAAGGGGATAAGGTAGAGGAACTGGCCATTCCAGTGAATCTGGAGAATTGTGATTTGGGGAGTAAAACACAAGATAGGAACTTTGGATATTTGAAAATGAGATTATGGAGAGATAAGTTATTGGTATAACAAAGTGAAGGGTCTGGGTAGTTGGTTGAGATAAAATGAAGGGCAAGCTTGGAGATGAGGTCAAGAATTTAGAGGGCAGGATATTGGAAAGATCATCTATCTGAATATTGAAAATACCAAGAATTAGAATTGTGTACTGATATAAAGGAAACAATGTGGAGATGTTACCAGGACTGATGGTGACCTGGGGTTCTATTAATAACTGCAACAAAGAGGAGTAGCAGGTGAATTTGTTGTGTTGGTCTACCCTTCAAAGGAGCCAGAAGGTTTTATGGACAGGGCACTGGGGAGTGCTTGGAATTGGCAATGAGGTACAAGGAAGACACCTTACCCCAAATATGAATCAGACAACAGGTTTTAGTTGCAGCAAGAAAGTGAAGAGCATATTGTTAGAAGACACCAGGTAGGCTCGGCGCCTGTGGCTCAAGCGGCTAAGGCACCAGCCACATACACCTAAGGTGGCGGGTTCGAATCCCCAGCCTGGGCCCGCCAAACAACAATGTTGGCTCCAACCAAAAAATGGCCAGGCGTTGTGGCGGGCGCCTGTGGTCCCAGCTACTTGGGAGGCTGAGGCAGGAGACTCGCTTGAGCCCAGGAGTTGGAGGTTGCTGTGAGCTGTGATGCCATGGCACTTTACCCAGGGGGACAGCTTGAGGCCCTGTCTCAAAAAAAAAAAAAAAAAAAAAGAAGATACCAGGTAGTAATATTCTATCAGCAAAAATGGCCTGCATCAGCTACTGTGTCTAAATATGTAGAAATTTCCATTTTCATGATTATGAGGAAATAAGACAATACATTTTCCAGGGGTGTGTTAGTTTCTTAGGCTTCTACGCACATACAACAAAGCCCACAAAATGGGCAGCTTAAAACAATGGGAATACATTGTCTCATAGTTCTGGAAGCATAAGTCTGAAATCAAGCAGAGCTCTGCTTCTTCTGAAATCTGTGGGGAAGAGTCCTTCCTCATCTCCTCCAGGTTATGACATTTGCCAACAATCCTTGGTGTTCCCTGGCTTGTCCATAGTGCAGTGACACACATCACTCTAATCTTTTCCTTCACTGTGGTATGGAGTTCTTCCTGTGTGTCTCTGTCTAATCTTCTTATAATGATACCAGTCAGATTAGATTAAGGGTTCATTCTCCTCCAATATGTTCTCCTCTCACTAATTACATTTGCAATGACTCTATTTTCTGATGTAGGTTAGGTCTTCAACATATCCTGGGTATAGTGGCAGGTGCCTGTAGTCCTAGCTACTTGGCCAGTTGAGACAAGAGGATCACCTGAGCCCAAGAGTTTGAAGTTGCCGTGAACTATGATACCATGGCACTCTACTGAGGGCAAAAATGTGAGACTCTGTCTCAAAAAAAAAAAAAAATACTATAATCTAAACAGACAAAAAGTGCATGCACATTGTGCATGTGAACTACAGTCTGATAACACAAGTGCTTACTGATGTGAGCCATTGAACCTACCAGAACTGCTAGGTTGGCTAAGAAGGAAAGCATTAGATTTTAAAATTGAGGGTCTTGGCACCTTTTTTGTTATTCTTATAAATCAATTATTTTAAAATGTTGAACTAACTAAAGGTTAAAAGCCTATGACTCTGAGAATGAGAGAAAGCTTGTAATAAAGTGATGCCATAATTTTTATCGACTAAGAAAAATTATTGTTATGGCATAGAGATGGGAAGGAGAGGAAAAAAGCATTCCTTTGTTTCTTTAATCATCAGAGGAAACAGGGTTCCAGAGATTTCAGCCTCTGAGATACTCAAAGTGTTACCCCAGGTTTCAGGCCCCTAGTAGAAGACTTGACTTCTCTTCTGCTTTTCTTAAAAGAGTTACATGAGTAAGATGTCACTCTCCTGCAACGGAGAGAACACGGGCTCTGCAGCCATTTACTGTGCACTTACGAGATGCTGAACTCTATATTAGTCCCTTGACCCAGTGCAAGCGGGGACCTCAGACTGGCCAGCATACCCCTGAGGACTGCTGCTGGAAAACTGCCCATGTGATCCCAGGGTGTGGAAAAAAACACTGATGTGTGACCCCAGAATCTCACCGTTAGTAAGTAGGTAGGTATACACAACAAGGCTTTTCTTCCAAATTAATGCAAATATTCACTCTAGTTTCAATTTAACTCAGTGCAAATTTTGAATTGGTAAAGTCCAAATTTATGAGGTTTTCTATGCTGAGGAAAGTGAGCTGATCATTTGACTCTTCCTACCCTGTCAGAATGGAGCCAGCATTTTGGAAGGGAGGGTAAGGCTGACTTTTATTACTTAAAGGTAATGTCTTTCATGAAAGATGCAGAATCCAACTGTTTAGTATTTTATCTATCCCTTTCTATTTCCTACACAGCTGGTAAGAAATGAAGTCCCTCACTCTATTACTCTAATTGAATTCCAACTTGGGTAATTATACTATAATTAAATAAATTTTCCCCATAGTTTTAATTCACTGATAAATGGTGCTAGTCAAACAGCTACATTATACTCCCAGAAAACACATCCCCACCACATTTTCGTGATAAGTAGAGTGATTTATATTTGGAAGATGTGTGTATGAAAAAATGCACAGTTCATAAAATATTTTCGGTATCATTCATGATTACATATGCTTTGCTCAGCATGAGATAACATTAATTTCTATTATAATCTTTCATCTAATTCCTCATATGCTTAGTGCCAAAAGAAATAAGACAGTTAATTAGCATTTCTTGTTTTCAGAACAATTTTTGTTTAGTCAGCCAGGGGCTGGTATCTACTTGTGTGTTTTATTTCTAAAACACATTGCTTTATCCCTGGGAGACAGAATGGAGTAGGTATTACTGTTTCCCATCCTACAGATAAAAGTATTGAGGCAGTCTTCCCCCAGAAGAGAAAGGTAGCTACGGTCAGTATCAGCTGCGGAACCTAAACTTCCCTGGGTCTCTTGCTTTCAGAGTTTTTTCTGTCAAACACTATCAAACACTGGGTCACTATCAGTCACCCTAGTTTTACTAACGAGAAACTAAAGAGCAGTACATGGGTGACCTGTATCAGACGTTATTAATTTATAATGTTATAATTAGTGATTTAAGCAGGAGTTCTAGGCCTAATAACGATCCTGATGATGTTCTCAGATCACGACACGAGGCAGCTTCTTTGCACCTGAGTGTTATTACTGGGTACAGCTCAAATACAACAGTTCAAAATGGGGTGCAAAAAATTCAAATTTCAATTTTATTCTAAGGACTCTTTTAAAGGAGAGTAGATAGCTTTTAATAAAGAATAGGAAAGATAACGTCAAAATACTCACAAAAAGCAGCAGTAGCAGGGGTGTTACCACGATGCCCTGAAAGAAATAAAAGAGAGGATGATCATTTAGCAGCCTGGAAATCAGGATATTTTCTTTGTGATTTGAACTCCGAGGCATGGAAATGTTTATCCTTCTCATTTTGGTTTAATAAAACCTGGGAGATAAAGAAGAGGGAGCCCCGAGATTGGCTCTCCCTCCCTTCATGCCTTAATATCTCTATTATGATTATTTCTACCTGGCATCAGTGAAAGGACAACCACCAATCTCCCTTAAACTCATCTTTCCTTTTGTAAACCTAAGTTCCCTTCCACACTGCGCATGTATCACATAGAGAGAAGCTGGTGGCTGGCAAGCTTTCCCACTCCAAGGCTTTCAACTCTAACTTGGATAAAGTGCCCCTTTTTGAGAGAAGACAGGTGGTTTAGTCCCAGTTGGGGTCCTCTCCTGAGCAAAGACCACGTCAGTTGTGATGAATGAGATGTCGTGATTTTGTAACGTGAACTGATCTCCCCTAGGAAATGAGCTGGGATCTCAAAACTCATTTCACTTGATTAGACTCCATGTCTCCATGGTGGAAGGCAAGTCTTTCATCTAATTCAGCCACATAGGACCACCTCAGTCCCTCCGTCTCCCCTAGGCAGAAACGAGCAAAAGATTTGTTTTCTTCGATGACAGGGAACAGTTTGAGGCTGTTGCCAAGGAGGCCAGATACCAGCTTTTGGGTTTCTTGAAGGTAAATCTTTTAAAACTAAGTGTTTGAGTTGGGAGTTGAAGTGACAAGTTTCAGTTTTGGAGCAGCAGATGATGATTTGCCCGTCTTCATCCTTCCTTTATCTCTCAGCACTTTGTTATGATTTATACAAGAAAAAGCACTTTAGATTTTTATTAATGAATTCTACCTGGAACTTTAAAATTTCAGTGAACCTGAGGTGTGTTTGTGTGTATTTCAGGAGACAGAAGAGAGAGAGAAAGAAAACTGCAGGGTTGGTGGGACAAAACTGGGACGCTATACCCAGACAGTACCTAGGATCCAGTTCTGGGACCACTTTATTACCTTTAGAAAAAAGCCCTTTTGGCATTTATATGGAAGTCCTTTTGTCATTCCAGTAACTAAATTGTTTGGGGAGTGGCTCAAGAAGGACTGGCTTACTTTATACGAACAATGCTACTGTAACTTTCTTGGGCATGTATACATGTGAATATTCATACACAGATTTGGTCTGTTATTAAATGATAGACTAAGTGCTTCTTTATTGTGCAGACTTTTACAACTGGCAAAAGTAAATAATATGACATTTAAGAGTGTTTTTAGAATACACTTATTAAAAAACATATTGTGGCTTATCAACTCCACTGGTGTCTATAAGATAGGTTCTCATTCATAGTACATTTAGGGGAGCTAATGAGTTAAATGCTAAAATAATTTTTAACTTAGAAGGGCTACTGTCCTTCAATGAACAAACCATGTTCAGACTTTAGGAGGAGTTCCAAACTTAACAGGGCTACTGGGAAATGAAAATATTTGTCTGTTTCAGTCTATGTGGGACCCATCCAATTTCAAGTCAATTTGTTTAAATATAGATTGAACATTCACTTTTTTTGCTGGGTAATGTGCTCGTAATTGGAGATTCAAGAGCAAATACAATATGATGCCTATACTAAAACAGCTTATAATCCAGCAGGGGACACTGACTGAGGAATAAAGTTCAAAACAGAATAATACCAGGTGCTGCCGCCACCTCTGCTTATATACATTCATTGTGCAGGGGTCTGAGAATTGACAAGCCCCACCTACTGGGACCCACATACAACATCCAGGGGTAAGATGACAGGCCAGCCCATCCATTACCACTATTGCTGGCACCTGTGCATGTGTTCTGGGGGCCTGGTGATTGACCTCCTTGCTTTTTGCCACCAGCATCTGCACACACTATGGTGGGTGGTGGTGGAGGGGGGCTTTGAGGGAGGTCTACAGAACCTGCTGCTGCCACCACCAGCACCCCCGCATACTATGTAGGGTACTAAGAATGCCCCATGTCATCCACTGTTGGCATTTGTGGACATCATCTGAGGGTCTGCAGAATTTAAGAATTCAAACTAGTGATAAGAAAAGAAACACAAATTACATCAAGAAGTCAGGAAAGAAATTAATGATCTGAATGAGCAATTCAATGAAGATATAGACACACTATAAAAAAAGAACCAAACAGAAATCTTAAAACTGAAGAATTCAATGAATAAAATAAACAATATAATCAAGAGCTTCAACTATTGACTAGTTTCAACATTTAGACTAGATGAAGTAAACGTAATTTCTGAACTTGCTGGCAGGCTTTTAAAATATTCCAGTCAGACTAAGAAGAAAAAAAAAAAAGAAAAAACAATAAAAGAGAATGAAAAAAGGTGATATGACACATGGGGTACCATAAAGTGTCTAAATATTCAAGTTCTTGGATTTTCCAAAGAAGAAAAGATAGTCAAAGGCGTAGAAAACCTATTTAATACAACAATTTCTATAAACCTCCCAAGTCTTATAAGATATAAAGACATCAAGATACAGGAAGCTCAACAATTCCCCAGGTAATTTCAATTCTAAAAGGTCTTCTCAAAGGCACATTATAGTCAAAACTATCAAAAGTCTAAGATCCAGAGAGAATTCTAAAAACAGCAAGAGAAAAGCATCAAGTCAGATCCGAGGGAATCTTCCTCAGGCTAACAATAGATTTCTCAGCAGAAACATTACAAATCAGGAGACAACTGGGTGATATATTCAAAGTGCTAAAAGACAAAACAAACAAACAAACAAAAAAACCCTATTAGACAAGAATACCATACTCAGCAAAATTATCCTTCAAAAATGAAGGAGAAATGAAATCTTTCTCAGACAAGCAAAAATGACTGGAATCCATGGACGCTAGATTGACAATAAAAGAAATGCTTAAGGGAGCACTACATCTGGGAAATGAAAGATGATATCTATCACCATGAAAACTCACAAAAACATAAGACCTGCTGGAAGAGCAGTTACACAAATGAGAAAGAGAAAGAAGTCAAATGTTACAATTACTGAAAATCAGCAAAAACTGATAAACTGATTTCTTCAGTGATAAAGAAATAAGAGAGGAAATTAAAAAAAAAAAACACCCAGAGGATATAAAAACAATCAGACAACCAGAAAATAATTAACAAAATGGCAGGAATAAGTCCTCGTCTAGAAATAATAATATTTAATGTAAATAGATTAAATCTCTGACTTAAAGAGTACAGACTGCAGGAATGGTTAAAAGAACATAACTTACCTCTGTGTTGCCCATAAAAGACATCTGTAAAAATACCTACTGAAAGTGAAAGGATGGAATAAGGTAGTCCAAATAAACTAAAATCAAAAGAGAGCAGAAGTAGCTACCTTTATATCAAATAAAATAGATATAATAGATATTTTTAAAATATTTTAAAATAGATATTTTTAAGTGAAAAACTGCAAAAAGACACAAAGAATGTCAGCATATAATTATAAAATATACCAAGGTCATTTTTCACATAATTTAAAAAATCCAAAATTTCATATGGAACTAAAAAAGAACATGAATAGTTAGAGCAATCTTAAGCAAAAAAGAACAAATCTGGAGTTATCTGACTTAAAAATATACTGCAAAGCTATAGAACCAAAACATCATGGTACTGGTATAAAAACAGATATATAGACTAATGGAACAGAACCCAGACACAAATCTACATGTTTACAACCAACTGATTTTGGCAAAGGTGCCAAGAACATACACTGGGAAAAGGATACCTTCTTTAATAAATAAGGCTGAGAAAACTGGATATCCATATGTGGAATAGCGAAACTAGACCCCTATTTCTCCCCATATATGAAAGTCAACTCAAAGAGGGCTAAAGACTTAAATGTAAAACCAAAAACTATAGAACTACTAGAAGAAAATATAGAAGAAATGCTTTATGACAATGATCTAGGCAAAGATTTTATGGATAAGATCTCAAAAGCACAGCAAACTGAGATAATATTTACAAATGGGATGATATTAAACTAAAAAGCTTCTGCACGGCAAAGACAACAGTGTGAAAAGACAACCTACAGAATTGGAGGAAATATTTGCAAACTATTCGTTTGACAAGGGACTAATATCTAGAAGGAACAACTTGACAGAGAAAAACTATATAATCTCATTAAAAAGTGGGCAAAGGATCTGAATAGACATTTCTCAAAAGAAGACATACAAATGGCCAACAGATTTATGAAAAAAGTGCTCAGTATCACTACCCATGAGAGAAAGGCAAATCAAACTACAATGAGATATCATCACACCTCAGTTAGAATGGCTAATATCAAAAAGACAAAAAAATAACCAATGTTGAAGATGAGAAGAAAAGGGAACTTTTCTACATTGTTGGTGGGAATGAAGATTGGTAGAGCCATTTTGGAAAACAGTATGGAGGTTTCTCAAAAAACTAAATAGAGCTGCCACATGGTATGGTGATTCCACTCTTGTGTATTTATCCAAAGGAAAGAAAATCAATATATCAAAAAGATACCTGCACCTCATTTTTACTGTAACATTATTCAAAACAGCCAAGATATGGAGTCAACCTAAATGTCTATGAACAGATGAATGGATAAAGAAAATGTGATATATATACACAATGGAATATTAGTCAGGCATAGAAAAGAACAAAATCCTGTCATTTGCAGCAACATGAATGGAACTGGAAGTCATTATGTTAAGTGAATTAAGCCAGGCACAGAAAAACAAATTCTGTAGGTTCTCACTCATATGTAGGAGCTAAAACCATAGATCTCATGGACATAGAGTAGAATAGTGGTTACCAGAGGCTGGGAAGGGTAAGGAAAGGGAGGTGAAGAGAGGGTGTTTAATGGCTACAAACAAACATACAGTTAGATAGAAGGAATAGGTTCTAGCATTTGATTATAGTTAATAATAATTAATTATATACAGTAGAAGCTCTGTAAGTTGACAACCCAAGGGACTGTAACAAACTGGTCAACATATGGA